ATTGACTTGCAACACTTAATAATCAAATAAAAACTATTAATAAGATTTCTTTTTTGGCGAAATTTCAGTCAGTTTGTAAAAGGAATTGCAGCAGTACTAGCCTGCGCACGCTATTGTGATTTCAACCATGTGTTGTGTTACTGTCTGTTATATAAAAACAAAATATAATCTATTCCCCTTCTATAAGTATTCGCTGTCGTCTCTGTGTTGGTGTCCCATTAAAGCCGCTACCTCACAGCTAACAGGTCACGGTACGTCGCTTTGCTTTCAACCATGAATGTGCAACAACCGCTTTTTGAAATCGCTCACGAGGAAACCGACATGCAGGGAGTCAAAGAGGCGTTCAAAGGCACAGACGGACTCTTTTTCTTCTAATAAAATCTTTTATTTAATTTCAATCATGTGGGCTAATATTTCTTTCAGTCTCCATCGTTCTCAGAGTCTCTGCTCAACCTCTGAGGAACATCAAACAGCTATAACAAGATCAAGCAGATGAAAAGGAAATGAGGAAACAGGAAGACAAAAAGACATTGATTTTTAATAGGTTTTAGCTCACTTTGTATGTCATTTTATAGAATAAATACTCATCTTTTCTCTAAATCAACAAACTCCCTAAAACCCCCCTTTGTTTCTTTTATTTAATATCGCTAAGTTTTCTCAGTTATCCAGCATGAGAATGTGGAAAGGTGTTCACTTCTGGTATACACAAAAGAAAATGGTTTCACTGTATTCACTACAGTTCTTAAGACACAAGTGCTCCTCTGAATAATGAGTAAAATGACGCTTGGGAAAACAAGCAAACAACAGAGTTCTTGCTGAGTTTAAGACATACAGTATTTCCTACTTACACACCAACAGGCATGAGTATAAAAGAACGATTCTTGGAGGAGAAGGGAGGCTTTGTTCAATAGTCATGATGCAAAAAAGGCTAAAGTCATCCAGGACTGCTGAAAAAGCAACACCGTTTGAAAAAATAATGATTTAAAGGCATCTCTTCACTCGTAGTCGTCTTTCTCGTGTCACGACTGACAGCTTTCTTGTTGACGGCGCCGATTAGAATATAATCAGCAAAAAGCATTCCATATGAATCGTAGTAATATAGCAAAAGTAGACAATCCATAGCATCTCAAATGTTTATGCAAACATATTGCAGCACCCCTGCTTCAGGCCTACACGCACACACTCATCTGCAGTCAGTCCCACTTCCCATTCCCAAGCCAGCAATTGTGCATTGAGAGTTCATTAAGAGTTCAATACCTACTGATCGCTTTTATGCCACAGTGAAATATGAGTATGAGTTTTTGTTTTGTTTTTTTTTTTCCCGGGAAAGATGAATTCCTTTCATGTTTGCAATGATTCACTGACTTGTGTTTTACTGTCATAGATTGGAGTTGGGCCCTTGTGTGGTGGTCTTATTTCAACTACAGACAAAATAAAACAAGGCTGATTAAAATGGATCCAGTAATTCAGATAAAATAAGTCTTCAGATAGGATCACTGAATGCTTCGATCTTCCACCAATCAGAGCTAGCCTGCTTAGAACCCCCTATGATTTCTACTTTTATGTGATCTAATTTTGGCTCTTTTAACATATGGATATTTATGATGTTTTGGTAGGTGGAACCTTTGTCACTCCGGCTAATTTCAAGTATGGTTTGAAACGGTTACAAAATCAGCTTTTCTAAGGTAAAACGTCTACATGCACTTTGCACCTTATAAACTGGATAACTCCAGGGTACACCGGCGAGCCACAGTGATACGCTCGCACTGAACATAGCCTCTGAAACGGTTCTTAGAAAACAACAAGCGTACACTCGATCTGAGTCAACACTCAGGCAGGCTTTTACATCGTTACACAAAGACATGAAGGGGTTTGTGCACTTAAAACGCTGAATGGGAGTACCGACGCAAAAACCTCCATTTAGGTCAAAATATTACACAAACTTGGTGTTTTATTCATGAAACGCGCCCATTGAGACCATTAAGATAGCTTAAGGGCAGTAAACAAAAAAAATATACTCCCTTTATTTATAGTTTAACTTTACAAGAAACAGCGGCACCACTATCGGCAGCAACGAGGACTGCTTTTCTGGTTAAGGTCTTGGGGGTTGTAGAGCGTGTGCACTGATTCATCTACAAACTCTTCAAACCACAAGGCTCAGTGTCAAACTGCTGCTCTGTGATGTCCATCCAGCTGCAAATATTACCTGACTGTAAAGGTTTCATGTTGGGTTTTTTGTAAGCCAAAGTGTTTTTTTTGGCCTCGAGAAAAGAGAAACACGTAGTTAAGTCAAAGCATTTAACAACAGTAATATACCATAATTACTACCATGATTGTTAAAAAACAAAACAAAAAGGTCTATCAATCAGTAAGTCAATGTACTTTGTGCACACCTGAACAAATATTGCCAGGATAAATGCTTCCCTTCATTTCAGAAAGACAAACATGAAAACGCAGATACATATAGAACGTCTTTAGTCCATTTGTTAATTAATGGAAACTACAGTTTAAATCTCTAAAAAAAAAAAAGTTATCAGACCACCGAAGACAGCCAGTGTTTGTCGTTATTGTCGTGGTGTTAATATGAGATGTCTATAAACTGAAGAAGTTTTTTGAAAAGTGATGTGAATGTGACTGAATGAGCTGATATCGATGTAGCCGGTCTTCTTCAAGCTAATGGTCTATAAAAAGGAGATTACATACATGATGTCCTTATACTGTACATGCTCATATACACTGTGGTTTATACTTACCCATCTGACAGGAAGAATTTGGTCCTCTCAGTACAGACAATAATGCTACAGTTTTTCTCTTCTCAACTGATGCTGATTCACCAAAAAAAAAAAAAAGTCTAATCCTGGAAAAAAAAAACTCCATATTTAGCATATCTTATCGACATATCTACAAAGAGATGTAGTTACTTGGGACATCATCAATAGAGGATGGCAATATTTTTTTTTTTTCTAAAAAGAAAAGCATCTTTTCTGACCCCCTCAAGTCAAGGGCTGAAAAACACCAATGGTGTGTGTGTGGGAAAAGTAATCAGTAAGTGGGTAATCTGTGTGTAAGGAAGATCAGTCTGTTTTACAGTACAAACATCAAAAATCAGTCTGAAGAAGAGCCACCTTTGTGTGCCGCGGCTGACGACCAAAGTTAACCACCTCCTGCACACACGGGAGGCAGAATCAAAACTCAAACATGTCATTCTGCTTCTTCGCCAGCTTGGCCACCTCCTGCCGGATAGCCTGCACGAGCGCAGAGGTGGAGAGACTGCTCAGGGGCATGCTGTCCATGTCCTTCAGCACCTGGGGCAGACTTTGCTGGGATGCTGTGCTAGGGGCAGTAGATGGCTGCTCCAGTGTCTGGTTATACTGCAGGGGCAGCCTGGTGGGGCTCCCCTGTGGGTAGCGAGGATGAGGAAAAGCCTCTACATACCCAGGCAGGGGCACCTGGAACACATGGTAGAGGGGACATCAGAGATACAGCAGGTTCATGAGTACTACCTGTTAAAAATGGCTGCTTATTAAAAGGATACAGTACGTGTGTTAGTTTTTCATCTTGCTGAGTGTACAGTTTCTCTTGCACCACTATTTTTTTTTAAATTAATGGTAAAACATACACAATCATGTCTGCAAAAAAAAAAAATCTGTAAAAAAAATGGACCAAAACAAGAAGGAAAGTAATGAGTGTGGAGGTCTACTGATGTATGACACTACAATGGGTTTTGTTTCAAACAGTGTTCTGAACAAAAATGGGCTACTTTTGCATGAAGACACAAAGTCTTCATCGGTTCCAGATTTACACGACAAGAAATGAAAAAAGAAGTAAAACAGTAGAAAAAGGTGTTCATTTAGGAAATGTGCTCAACTACCCCAGTGTTTTGTTGTGTCCACTCAAGGCCAGCCATAAATTCAGTTCAGCAAATGGTTTCTAAATGACACTGGTTCTGCAAAAAGACACTGCGTGAAGGCATCTGGTTGAAACAGGCAAACAGACAGGGAAAAAAAAGACAACATTCCATACAAACAAGGAGAGTCCAGTGCAGGGGAAGGAGGGGAGGCACACATGGGTCACATGAGTTATAACATATCTAACAGGACGAATGGAGCCTGTCTCATTTTAATGAAAACAGAGGAGAAGGCAGGGGGACGCTCAACAACTTTTTTTTTTTTTTTAAATGAGCCCCGATCCTGTTCAAGGGTAGAGCATGAGCACAAAAGATGTTTTGGATCAATGTCAGTTCCATAATGAAACAATGCTGAAATGCACCTACACATGACACATATAGCTCTGTCATGATATCCCTATTGGGTGTTTATTGCCCTATCTGTTGCACTGCTGCACTGTAGCCATAGACTGTATATAAAAGATGAACAGAGCCACTGCCACACTTTGGTTTGTGAAGTTTTGAGTTTGGCATTTTGCATTGTTGGACTTTAAAAATCAAGCAAGGAGTGGATCCGACTATGAACCCAAGGACACTGCCGATCAGGGAGCAACTGGTCGATCACCCCCCGCACTAAAACACACCTGCTTTCCAGTCTGTTACCATAATATACAAAATGCACAACATGCTCTTCAAAAAGTCTTCCAACCTGCAGCTGAGACCATAAACTCATTCATAAAACATACACAACAAGGTAGAAGTAGGGTGATCTTTTTGTAGACTTGTATACGTTTGGACTTCCTTTTGAACCAGAGGAGTTGCCCCCTGCTGACTGGTAGCTAGAATGCAGATTTAGGAATGAAGCATTGGCTTCATCTGCAGACCCGGAGGCTCTGTCTTTATATACTAAGTCCATGACTGCAGCACACTCTCTGACTCTGTAGGGTTGAACAGAAGTTATGAAAAAAAGCATTCTCACAGTCAAAAGGTGAGGCTACAATAACACATGAACCGATAAAGTAGAACTTTACAGCTACTACGCTAACAGCAGAGAGCTTGTATTTGTTTTATAGCATCTGGATCTATTCTTTATTCTACAACAAAACTCAGAAGGGTGTGTTTTAAAGGTGTAATGCTTGACAGCACAGGGGGAACTGTTTGAACTGGACTGTCCTGTTTAATCAAGACATCTGCTCACATTATTCTAGCACTATATGTTGTTTTTTTTTAGTAGACTTGGATGGTTCCTAAGCAGTTAAAATGGGCTTCCTTACAGAGTCTGCCCACTGTGGCGGTACATCCTCAGGTTCAGGTGGATAGGACATCCAAGAAGGACTGTGGTAGGAGGTGGGTGGCGTGGAGACAAAGTACTCTGAGTAGCCGGACCTGGTGGCTGGGATGGCATAGACGGCTGTTATTGGGTTTCCTGTGGAAAAGAAAAGAGAGAGAGTTGACATTGACTGATGTGTATTTCAGTGCATGAATACATTTAAGTGTTTCCTTACAAATGTTTGATTTTGTCCGAATGTTACTATTCCTGAAAAATCGATGTTGGCCTCAAAGCAAAGCCAGTTTGAGTTACTTTTGAAATGCAAAGTCATCTCCTCCAATACTTACCTGAGTAGTTGGACACAGGCTGCTCTGCAGTGATAGATGGAAGTGCTGCTCTTGTGGTTGGCCCATATGGGTTGTTGTCATGTTGACTTCGCATTTCAGTGACAGATGTCTCTGAGCTCCTTCCCTTAGGCCCCAAGTCAGAAGTGGAACTAAGTTGGACAGAGATTGGAGAACCATAAACAAAGAGCTGCTGCAGTCTAACACCACTAGATGGCAGACACAGTCCATGTGGGAATGTCAGCACCTTATTAACATTCTCGCCATCTCTCAATGCACTAGTTCGATATTAAAATTTATACAAGGCCTGAAATCACCCTGGCCACAGCACATCACCTAGTGACTATCTAGTCCCTGAATATGAATCTGAATGTGAATACATGTGGAATATCTTAAGGGAGGACGCTCCAGGCGGCATGTCTGCATCTGTGTGTGTGTCTGTCAGCTTTACCGTCGTAAGGAGGTCCCAGGAGGAGGCCCAGTGCGAGGTGGTAAAGGGGGAGGGGAGCCCATGGCCATCTCAGGAAGCTGGGTGAAGCGAAAGGCCTTAAACAGACAGTGAGAGTCATTTAAGGTTTCTCTGTTGCAGGTCATTGGAGAGAACAAGTAATCTCAGCCCACTTACTGGTTTCGGCAGGCTGCACTGATACACGTCCGCACCATAAGATGGCACCCACTGCAGACCTCCCCGTCCACAGCTCATCGTGCCCGGAGCACTGGTCACTACGTCTGCGTAGGGGAGGGGAGGCGGCGCGGGGCTGTAGTGGTCCGGAGGGGGTTGGTGGTGGTGGTGGGAGTGCCTTCCGGATGTGGACTGGCCCCCTGAAGCCAGGCTGAATGCCTCCTCCAGCAGCAGGTGCATCTGCTGCCGCACTTCATCAATGGACGGCTGTGAGCTCAGAGTGGATGTCTCTGAGTGGCCTTTCAAGCCCCGGCCGTACATGTATCCCCGCGGCCCCATTAGACGATCAACGTTCGTCTCTTCAATCAACTCCGGCTCAGTCTGCAATATAAGATATAGAAGACTGAACACACCACCTTCAAAACCTTTACCACATATGAAGACTGTTATGGACGACGTAGAATCAGTCATGAAAGGATTTGAAACCCGATCACAAGCTTCAAGTGTCCAGATTTCGAGGTAGTTTTGCGGCGATGGCTTGTGCGAGTAGCAGTGGCCACCTGGGGGAGGCCTGTTTTGTTCCACCTGGATCAGATATTAGAAACCTCTCCTTCTTGAATTTGCAGGCCACTAGCAGATAACACCCTGAGAAAGCTGGGAAATTCCAATGTCTTCTGTCATTCTCTCAGTGGGTTGTTGACAAGCTGCTGACTGAGCTGGAGGAAGGCAGTTTAATGTTACTCTGAGTTTCCTGAGACAAATCAGTTGGAGGAGTTTGATCCAGCGCCGCTACTGCCTGGTCACAGTGGGTCCAGGAGCAGAGCCAGGCAGCGTGATTCAGTGAGAGCTAACATGTAGTTTTCTGTACTTCCAACACTCGTTTCTGGAGGTTCACCGTATGTGTGCTATATCTTCCTCCTGTGTTGCTTTCTGCACTATACACATAACAACCGTCGTCTCTGCTGTGTAGATTCATTGCATCTCAACCTTTCCCCTTCCTTTTTCCTCACATTTTCTGAAACTCCCTCCATCTTTTCATAACCTCTTCTTCCATCAACCCAGTCCTTATATTCAGTGATAAATTAATACGAGCCGAGGCTGCCCTAGTTCCTGTGTGAATAGAGGGTAGCCACGGGAGACCTAGCGTAGTGCACCTCATAAATCAGCCCCCCCTGCAACACGGAACAGCAGAGGCTTGCATCTGCAGTGATGGGGCCTGCAGCTACACTAGTCCCTTTGTAATCAACAGGGCCGGGAGTTCTGATAAAAGGACTGTGGAGCTCGTACCGGCTATTGTGCCATATTTCGAACCGAGCTGAGCAGCCGGCTGAACCGAGCGTAACCACAGTGAGTGGAACCGAGAGGCGATGGGTGCTTAGAATTAAAATATATATTTGTCGGCATATTTTTCTGCAGCAGAATTCTGACATTCTGCTCATGAGACCGTCCTATAGTCCAAACACCTGATGTATCCAAGCTGCAAGCATAAGAGGTCACGCCAGTTAACAGCAAGCACAACACCAGAGGCAGTTTTACCTGAGCTTTTTCTGCAATGAGAGGCTAAAAAAAAAGAAAATCTAGCAGGTCAGTAGGAGTTCAGTGAAATATTTCCATCACTAGCTCCGAATGAAAGCACTTTTTTTTTTAAAGGAATGGTCTGCTTAGTACTCTTAGGGGTTCACGTGCTTGTATTCTGACTTCGAGGCAGAAAGAGAGCCGTACACAGAACCATAATGGAACAATAAAAGACTGGAAACATAAACCAGCCATCCTGAGATGCATTATATATCAAAATGACAGGACTTTATAGCCCTTAATTATAAATGAAGCACTTCTCTACCTTCAGCTTGCTATGGTACATTTGAAACCACACCTGTGCAGAATGTTTTTTCTCATCACTCTGTCTTAAATAGAGCAGTAAGGCAGAGATTTGGCACTAATTAATTATGATCTTTTCATACAGAATCAGAAAAAAATGTATTAATCCCCGTGGGGAAATTGCCTCTTCACAGTGGTACGTGTGTTCTGTTTGGTAGCAAGCATCTGAACACATTTGAATAGCACATCATGAACACATCATTAATACATAAGACGAGTTAAAAGGTAACGTGTCACTCACAAGTTCAAGCTATTAGTGCATCAGCATTTATTACTGAACAGTATATTTTATCAGCACACACTCACCACTAGACTAAAAGAGGCATGGCACTGAGGGATTGTGGGAAACGCTACCATTGTGGCCGTCCACACCAGGAGGAGTTGCAGACTATGACTACTGGGGGCGCCGGAGCCCGGACCCCTGACCCGGCAGACAGGGGGATCCCCACAACGAGGTGGGGAGCCCCCCCAACCAGCCGGGCCGAAGGGACCCGCAGACAGAACCCCCAGCAGCAGACCGCACACAACCCCCAGTGTGGAGGACCCCCCTAAGGAAACACTGGAATTAAAAAACTTTAAGAATAAAAGGCCTTATGTAAGATAAAATAAAAGTTAAAAGAGTAAATACATAAAGATAAAATACAAAGATAAAATGCAAATATAAATAAATTATAAGAATATAAAAGAATTAAAGTTCAATTAAAAGCCTGATTAAAAAGGTGTGTCTTTAACCTTCTTTTAAAAGTATCTTTTTAAAAAGTGTTTTGCCTTTTATGTAGGGGATACATTTTTAAAATGTTAGATTCTGGAATTTAAAGGCTGGATGCTATTTTTCTTCAAGTCTATCTTCTACTAATGTCCATATTCTTATGATATGATATCTCAGTGCAATGATGGGGAAGAAAACCCTCTTGCCGTGTGAAAATACATTCCAATGTCCAGCTAAAGCCACTACAAGGCCTCTCATTTGAACTGTCCCTCTGCAGTGGCACAGTAACGCTGTCCACAGACATATGAAGAGGAGAAATTTGCACTAAAGGAGACTGTAACTCTGAAAGATACACACTCTGTGTGTCTAACTCAGACTGCTGAAGCCTCATTATAGGTTTGGCTTAACTGTAGAAATCATTTTTACACACAGTGAGGGCTGTGGATTTTGTTCCCCAACAGGGAATCTCTTCACAGCCAGTATGTACAAGAGGAACAATTACAGCCACCGATAATTATTTCAATTCCCCGTTTTTATGAACATTTGAGAAATATTTTAAAACAAACTTGAGAGGGAAAAAAAAAATGTGAAGGGATCTTTTAACTGCTAGCCGACTGAACCGGTTGGGTGGACAGAAGTGGTGGGTGACGACATGTGACTCACATCGTAGCCGCTGTTTCGGATGCCTCTCCTGGGTCTCTCTCTCATTACAAGCAGGTCCATCTCTGTTCCTCCGGGGCTCGGACTGCTTAGGCTTTGTCTGCTGCGATAGGCCGTCTGCCCTACCTGGGAGTGCCTGCCAATTATAGTTGAGTGGATTCAGTACAAATCGGAGCCGGGGTAGTTATTAATTTAAAACATTTAAATTACTTTTCCAAGCTTTAGTGTGCCCGCAGTGAAAGGTTGGTGAGGGAAGGTCTGGTACAATGAACTTTATGGGTTTTTATTGAGCCAGACATGATGAAAAGGTTGGGGGGAAAGTACTGGCACTAACTGAAGCTATGGCACAGGCGACATGGGTGTCGTATGCACGGATGTCTCACAATGACATCCAGATTTAAAATATTAATTCTAAATGTTGAATTGCATAAGAATATCCCCCTTTTTTCCCCCTTTCATATCATTTTTCTCATAGCAAAATGCAGAACTGATAAAATATCTAGTACAACAAAACATCAGTGACAGAGGACAAGATACATATCAGTAAACCTGCTCTGAGGGAATCTATGTTATTGGTGTCGCCGATCAGCCGCACGCTGATCGTGACAGTAAATATCCACTTATCTCGCTCATCAGGCTAGAATATAAAAATAGCTATCCAACCCTTCATCAACAGGCCAGATTCAAAAGTTGCTTTCCGTTCCGAGTTCAAGAGGGTACGCGTCAATCTGCTGTGGAATAAACACTTGACCTAAATCTGTAAACCAAAGATTGTCAATGTTTCTTGATATCTGTAAAGAAGAAGTAGGCCAGAAGCAGCCTGTCAGTCATCTCATCACCTTTCTGGAAGCTCAGCACTTGAACCAAACCAATCGGACAGGCGTGATGGTTCCCTCACCGCCACACACGGTAATGACAACATTAGATGAGACAGTTTCACTTATCTATAAATTAATTAGGAAAGGCAGGAGTGACCGGGGATGGATAACTGGCCGTGGTTAAAAGCCCAATCAGCCCTAATGAAATCCATGTCACCTGCAGCGCTTAGCGGCTGTGCGGCTTCATTTATGTATGAGAAGTCAACTCAAACCATCGCTTTTTCCTTTCTGTTTACATTCAACCAAACCCTGGTTCCACTTGCTTTTCCACTCTCCCCTCACCTCCTGTGAGACTTGACATAAGTGGAACCTCGCTCATCATCAGGCTCCAGTGGTCTGCCATGCTCACCGGCTGCCCTCTCATGGTCGTGCCGCTGCTTCTGTGTCAGGGCTCGACCGCTGCTGCTGCCGTTGGTGGACGGGAAGTCATAATAGCCCTTCCTCTTAGCTTTCAGCCGCAGCTTGTTCCTGTAGTGCTCGATGTCTGACTTCTGCTTCAGCGCCAAGTTCACCTGCGGAGAGGATAGACCACAGGGTGCAGCGGGACATGGGGAGATCAGAACAAAAACAGGCATGAGGTGCTACTGTATGCGGTGTGGCTGGCTTTGTCTTGATAGGCAGCTGTTTGTGGTGGAAGATCACAGGGTTCGTGAGAATAAAATAAAACTCCTACACAACGCTGACAGTCAGAAAGACTATTTTTCATCTGTAGTATTTGCTTTAACGTCGCAGATAACAGACAAAAATAAAGAAAAGAAAAATGACTAAATCTGCTGGGTCAAAAATACACATACAGCAGCTTTAATTATCAGTGTTGATGATGTACAAAGCTGTGGTAATCAAATTTTCTTAGCGGCACGGTCTTTTAACTTTGTGAGGGGAATTACGACTGACTACAGCTGCTGACTCCTCGGAGTCAATTTAAATAGGACCCATTGATGCACTCATCCGACTCAGCCACAAACACTAGAGTGGCAAAGTCTGAGGAGCTCAGCGCAGGTCTGAAAAAGCACTTGAACAAGTCATTTGAAAGCAGCTACAGATTCTGCTTGTATAAAGTGCTGCATGGTACAGTTGTGTCACTGACATGATCGGGCAGAAAACACGAGCTATCACATGCTGCTGGGAGACAGTTGGTGAGGATGGTCAAGAGTGAACCAAGAATAACCAAAAAGCCAGTCTGAAGTGAATTATAAGCTGCTGGAACACACTGACACAGCTGTCAGTGTCCACAGTCAAACATGTTGTATATCGACATGAGCCGCGAGGCTGCCATGGCCGTCCTCTCAAAGCACCTTATGGCTCCACTGAAGTTTGCTGCTGATCACATGGACAAAGAAAAGGCCTTCTGGAGGAAAGTTCTGTGTTCAGATGAAACAAAAAATCAGCTATTTGGCTGCAATGACCAGAAATATGTTTGGAGGACAGAAGGTGAGGCCTTTAACCCCCAGAACACCAAACCTACCATCAAGCATGGTGGTGGTAGCATTATCATGCTCTGGTGCTGTTTTGGTGGAACTGGTGATTTACACTAAGTAAATGGAACAATGAAAAGGGAAGATTACCTCCACATTTTTTAGAAAAACCTAAACTAGTCAGCCAGAAGGTTTGGGTCTTAGATGCAGTTGGCTGAGACAGAAACACCCAACAATCCAAAACATCTGGATTCCCTATAAGCTTCAGCAGTCCGCAAGCAGTCCGCAACAGTGGGACGGAACCGAAAACCCCCGCGGGGGAAAAAAAACCTCCGACAGAACCAGGCTCAGGGAGGGATGGCCATCTGCCTCCACCGGTTGGGTGAGAGTGGGATGAATTATACAATTTAGTTTACAGTTAAACAAGTTATTAGAATGGCCCCACACACACATGAAAGGTGATACAGGAACGGATAAATCAAGCTAGAATGAAGGTTTTAGGCTTTAGACTTAACCCCCATCGAGAATCTGTGGACTGTGCTGAAGAAACAAGACTGTGTCAGAAAGTCATCAAATTTAGTTAAACTGCACTATTTCGGTCAAGAGGAGTTAAAGATAGAGACAAAAGTTTGCCAGAAGCTCGTGGACGGTTAAAGTGAAAATGAGAACAGGACATTTAACCAGATATTAGTATTGCTGTATGGATACTTTTGACCCAACAGATTTATTCATTTTTCAGATCAAATTCACAACCAAAAAAAAAAAGGTTCAAAGATTCCATCATAGAAAATTAAAAGTTTGAGGAGTCACTGATTGAATGATTGCCATGATATAGGCAGTCTTTACAAATGTATGTAAACTTCTGTTCATGTATGTTGCTATGTGTATT